CCACAGTGTCCTCACCGAATGGTTTTATTCTCTCATCATTTTTTATTACTTGCTCACATTTTCTTTTCCTTCTCTTGAAATTTATATCTTTAGGCATGGGTACGGACGATGGCAAGCCATTGTTGATGACAAAGAGTTGGGGATCCAAGAGCTTATCTGCAAAGAATTGAATTTCCCTCACGTAAGTTTGTCTGCTGCTGAACAAGCTGGCTTGCAGGGGCAGAATGGTAGTGGAAGCTCCAATCCTGGAGCGCAGAATAACCAGAATCATGGAAGCGGTATTGCGGGGAACAATAATGCTTTTGCTGATGCTGGCCAAGTAAACTCTGCGGGCCAAGTAAACTCGATGTTCTACTATCGGGACATGCAGAGAAGACTAGTTGAGTTTGTGAAAAAGCGAATTCTGCTTCTGGAGAAGGCGTTGAATTATGAATATGCGGAGGATTATTATGTATGTTGTGTCCATCTGCAGTGTGTCCGTACTTATTCACATGTCTCGTGCCATGTTGTTCAACTTTGATTTAATACTCTGGTTGCAGGGACTTGGTGGCTCATCATCTATGCCTAGTGAAGAACCAGAAGCTGAAGCAAAGGTCACCGACTCAGTGAGAGCAAACTTTGTTGAGGTCGACGATGAAATGCTTGATGGACTTCCCAAGACTGAGCCCATCAGTAAGTTCCATCACAAGTTTCTCTAGTTAACGACTTGTCGGTTCTAAAATGAGCTCTCTGACTCTCAATGCAGCTTCAGAAGAAATGATGGATGCTGCTGTTGACAACAACCAAGAGCGCGTTGAAATAGCTCAACTTTATAACAAGGTAAGCTGCGTTTTTGTCTTTGGCTAATGTCTAGAATCAGTATATCATCACACTAATCTCTTTGCTCTTATTCAGATGTGCAAAGATTTAGATGAGAACGCTCGTGAATCAGTCCAAGCATATGTAAACAACCAACCGTCTAATGCCAAGCTGAATGAGAGCTTCCGTTCATTCGAATCTATCAATGGTAACATTAGCAGAATCCTCTCGGCTTCATCTGATCAATGCAAGTCACACGAGGACACCAAGCCAAACCTAAACAATGTTGAGATGAAGGACTCGGTCGAGGAAAGAAAACCCTTAAGAGGCAGCGTCGATCTGAATGTGTTGGAGGGAGAAGAGAACATTGCAGAAGCTAGTGGAAGTGCTGATGTGAAAATGGAAGAAGCCAAAGAAGAAGAGAAGGTCATTGTCTTCGATTGACAACTGGTAAATAAAAATATCTTTAAGAGTCAAAAGACCAAAGAGGGTCATGATGTAGGAACAGGTGTTTAATAGTGTATGATTGGTTCGATTAAGTCCGGTTAGCAGAAAATTATTCTATCAATGCAACTACACTTTCGGTTTAGCTTCCATAAATTTCACATGGGTTTGATTTTAGGGGAAATTTATTGAACGTGAACCGGTTTTGTTCCGGTTTAGGCTTTTGACATATGAGACATGTCTTTCAAGAAACACATTGCTCTGTTTCTTCCTTTGTGTCGAATCATTTTCAATCAGTAATCATAATTATATATCTCATCGCAAAATTTGATATCCAAACTAGACATGCACATGCAATACCAACTTGGGTTGACTTTAATATTAGTGGGCTCGAGTGGTGAGTACTGAGTACACAGTGGAATCTCTGTTCGTCATCATCACCACTTTATTCTTTAATTTCTGGATATGTTCAATAAATTTTCGTCTCTTTATAGGTTATATGACTTGTTTGTTCGTAGGACTATGATTTTAGAGACTCGTGAATTTTGGTTATCTTTGCAGAAAGAGAGTTGTTAATTAGTTTCGTTTGTCCCACATCGATTATGTAGTGAGACGTGTGATAACGAGTGGGCCTATAAAACGAGAAGAGGTGTGAATGGAGAAAAACATGATCCTTCAGGCAAGTTAAAGGGGATATGAGGAATGGGTTTAATCTCGCATAATTGCGTGATGAGCGTTCCGCTCAAAGCCTGTTACGACAATTGGGCGCTCCAATTTTCATTTAATCTGATCCCTCTCTTGCTTCAAAAAAAATCACTTTATGAATTTTCATAAAAAAAAGTTTTTTTATATATATATATATATATATATGAGAAAAGAAATTAGAAACTGTATTAGTTTTGTTAAGTCGTAATTATTAAGTGTAGTAGTATAGAATATCTTGGTATGTAATGTAAACACAGTTGTTAATAATATAATTTGCCGACAATTAAAAAAGTGTAGTAGTGGTACAACATACATGGTGATTTGTGATAGTACTAGGAATTTGAAATCCCGTGAAACAGTAGAAAAATACAATATACATATGTTTTGTAGGCTTAGTAGCATATTTTTTATCAGTCCATTTTCTCAATAAAAGCAAACAATTACTTATACATTATCCTGTTGGGTTTGACATACCATAAACAAACAGGAAAATTTTAAAAAATAAATTGTGTTTCTCATTAATGTAGAAATATAATTTCTGGATATGGTCAAACTCTGCTCGTCTCGATTTCGATCTGTTTTTTTCTTCTTTATTTCTAGATCTTTGACTGATAGTCTAGCCAAGAAATCCCTTCGTGATTTCTCCTCTGTACTACCGTGACCTTTGAAGTTCTAATATTAAAATGTTGACCAAAAAAAGAAAAAAAAAAAAAAGCTGGTCAGGTCCTAATGATAACAAAAAACAAAAACAATGTTCATAAACAATTTCAGTTTTCCGTTGTTTTACATAACTTTACTTATTTTTTACAACTTTGGAGACAACAAATAAAGGTGAACCCAACGAGTATACAATTAAGGACTGAGCATTCGGTTGTTTAATCCAATTTTTAGAAAAATAGATTCCAAATATTTTGACTTGGCTTCAAAGTTTTCAGTTGCGTATTCGGTTAAATTTTAGACAAACAAAAAGAGTTATTTGACTTCGATAATAGTACTTAGTATATTTTAAAAGTATTTTAAGATTATTGTTTTTATTGAATTTTTCCTGGCCTAAAATTATCTAATTTCCATATAAATAAGAAAGTCAACAATTTAAAGTTTTAAACGATCAAGTGAGTTCTTGTAACGATCCAACAAGACATCATCAAGTTGAATCTAACCAATAGTTAAACACTAATCCGGTGTAATACTTGTTAGTTTTTTTGGTTTTGTCTTTTTTTTTTTAATAGTGAACATGTCTTTAACTACACTTTCGATTTAACTTCCACTAGATTTTTACCCCGTGCATCTGCACGAGAATTCTTTTTAATCAAAATTTGTAATGTAATTTATGTTTTCTTTATAGATATAATTTTTCTGTTAAATAACACAGATTTATTTTTGTGTTTAGACATAATTTGTTTTTTTTTTAAATTAATATTATTTTAATCACGATCATAAAAACATAATTCTAATATGGTCATTTTATTAATAAAAAAATGATCGTTTTTATAAAAAAATTTTTAACTTGTTCATTATATTAATCCAAAAAAAACCGTAGTTATAAAACCATAATTCTAACATCCACGTTCATATCACTATATAATATAAATATTTACTAATTTTGAAATAATTTTTATCTCAACCCGCAAAAGATCACAATTATAAAAAAATCTAACTCGTTCCATCAAATCATTATATAATATTAATATTTATTAATTTTCAATATGTAAAATTTTAGTGTAATTGAATATGATTAAAAAATATAATAAAATATTCATTAATCATATGTGTTATTTTGAAAATATTTTTAAATTTTAAAAATTAAATTAAATCAAACGTATATATTTAAGAAAGTCTAAAGTAATTTAAATTAGTATCTATTTTTCAGAACTAAATTTAATTACAAAAAATAGTTTGAATTAATAACCTATATTTAAGGAATCTTTAATTATATAAATTAATATCTAATTTTCGGAATATAATTTATATATAAAAGAAAATATATTTTTAAAATAATATTGCAATAAATTAGGATAATTTTAAATTATTTTCTAAATATTTTTTTTAAAAAAAAACTTCAGAACTGTTTGCTTCAGAACTAAAAGTGCTCCTATGTTTTAATATAATAGATATATTTCACATGGGTTTGGTCTAAGGGAAATTTATTGAATGTGACGGTTCTCTTTCGGTTTAGTCTTTTGACATATGAGACAGATCTCTCAAGAAATGAGTTTCAAAGCCGGTTCTGTTGCGGTTTAGTCTTCTAAATTTCTAATCCTCAAGTCAAACACATTGCTCTGCTTCTTTCTTTCTTTTTACACCAATTTTTTTCGAAAGCAGAAGACAATGATGGTATATGGTTTTGTTATATAAAGCCGACGAAAAACAAATTTTTTGGGGAAACTAAGCCCGATGCATAGAAAAAACATTAAGGAATATTAACTAGTGAAACTTGAATAGAAAGAACAAAAGATAAAGGAAAGCGAAAAAACTTAGCCCAATTTAAACTATTACCCCGAACATGAGAAACAAAGACGATAATCAAACTTCTACACACCACTAATCTTTTTTCTTCGAAGGTCTAAATATATAAGGTTTTGCATCCCACAAAAGGCTAGCTTGACAAAAATCAAATAAAATAATGACTATGTGAAAAAACCTATTATTCCTCTTCACTATAGTCTATAAATGGTGGTGGAAGAAAGCTTTATAAATTCATGAAAATATGTAGGAGATAATCAGACAAATAACCCACATACCAAAACAACTAATTCGAAGACAATCGCATATCATCCCAAAAATTGATATTTAATCAAACAAAATATGCACATGCAATACCAACTTGGGTTGACTATAATACTAGTGGTGAGTACAATGGAATCTCTGATGCTTTTTATTCGTCATCATCGCCACTTTTTTAGGAATAATAAATTAACTCAACTTTTTTTATCTTGAACTTATATTCTTTAATTTCTGGATATGTTCATAATTTTTCGTCGATATATGGGCATTTTCTGTAAAGATCTATGACTAGTGATGATATTTTCAGACTGTGTTAGACTCCTGAATTTTGGTTATCTTTACAGACACAAAAACTGCAGAGCATAACAAAAAGAGAAATCGAAGATAAGGAAAAGTTTTTTTTTAACATTAACTTATTATTCTATTATAAATTATGTGAATTATTACGTCAACAATTCTACGACAACAATTCTACTACGGACAAATCCCGCCTACAAACATGCCAAAATGAATTTCCATGCACCACATTAAAAACCTCAACCATTAATGAATCCATTACCAATAGATAAGGAAAAGTTATTTATGAATTTTTTTTTATTATTATTTCTTTGAAGTTCTAATTGCTATAACCAAAGGGAAAGCAAAAAAAAGTTTTAAAAAAAAAAAATTAGTTTACAGTTTCCTTACAGAGAAAATATGAGAAAAGAATAAGACAAAAGCAATCACAAGATGTTTTTTGACTTTATGTCTAAATGTTGTCTCTCATATGCATGTTCTGAGTGAGCTAAAGCCTCCATATCCCAAATCTCCTCCAGACAAATCTCCCTGGCTCTGTTCCTATCATTCACAATGTAAGCAAAAATAAATTCACAAATCTCAGAGATCATTATAATAATCTTCAGAATGCTTCTATTGGCAAAAGCTTTTATATTTACACACCTGCTTCATCGTGGAGTTGACTATATCATCTAAAGAACCAGCTTCTGCAACCAAGAATCCACTCTGTAACTTTTGCTGCCCCACGATGAATCCTTCCTTTGGGTTACTACTCAAGATAGCATCTGTGTTTGGACCGTATTGCCTCATCTGCAACGAATCATAGAAGCCTCCTCCAGGTTGTGCGTTTGCATTTGAATTGAAGTCTATGTTTCTGCAAAATGCTCGAGGATTTGTATCCAAGCCTGGACTCAATGCAGTTGCAGAGTCACAGAACGGGATAGAATAGCTTGTTGGGCCATTGTTCCATTCCAAAGAGTCAGGTTTAGAATGCTGCGGTAATGGGGACACATCGAACTGATGATGGATGCTATTGTTACTGTTCTGAACAGGAGGAGGGAGAGTCGAGGAGGAAGATACAGCGTTTGACCAATGTTCTAAACGTTTATTGATCTGGTGTCCAGGGAAGCCTTGAGGAGATGCTTGTGGATGACCTTCAAGAACCAAGAGATTGTTATTAGGCGCACCGATGAGAGAGCTTTGTTGTGTTGAGAAGCTAGGAAATGCCATTGAGTTCCCGGAGATGCTCTTGTTGTTGTTGTTATTGTTCATGTTTCTAATGTTGCTGTTTGTTTGAAGCTGGTCGAACTCTAAAGGCATTGGTAGCCCTTGAAGTATATTTCCTCCATCACTGTGGTTTAGTGGAAGTGATGAGACATGGTGAAACTTTCCAATATCGGTTTGGTTTAGCAAGAATATCCCGGAAGGAGGAGAAGAAAGGTTGCGGACACCGATCCCTGAAGGAGTGTTGAGCCGGCCAAGAATCCCATTTGGTGGGAAAGATCTCATCGCGGTGGCTCCACCGTGGAACTGAGAGGTTCCAACAGGGATTTGGCGGTGGTGGTAACCGTCAAGTCCACCAAGAGAAGAACTCATTTGCAAGAAATGTACGTCAGAGTGTCCCATCATTGCTTGTTGATTACCACTAATCCTCTTCAAGTAAAGACGGAATTTCTGCAGCCACGAAGAACAGAATAAGCTTTTTTGTAAAGTTTCGGTTTAAGTAAATACAAGAATGGTTCTTTGAAACCTGAAGATGACTAGCCACATTCTCTCTAGTGAGCTTCTCAACATTCATCAGATCAAGAATCCTTTTAGGCATTGCCTCTGCAATCAAAACAACACACAAAGTTAAAACCAGCAAAAGAGAGTTTGAAAACAAACAAGTGACATTAACCAAACTTACTATCAAATCCCAATTGGTTAACCGCTGCCACAAATTTCTTGTGAAGCTCGACAGTCCAAACAACACGAGGCTTCTTCTGAGCCGATGAATCATCGTTATCGTCTCTCTCCTCTTCCTCGTCTTCATTATACTGATCTTTACGTTTCCTGTTCGCTCTCCCATTGTTCTGATCAGAATTTGCAGCAACTTCATTACCTAATCCATCTCTCTTGTCACCGTTATTACTCCCACGGTTCTTGTCAAGTCCTTTGCTTCTCACCACATGTTGCCATATGTTCTTCAGCTCCTCAATACGAACCGGTTTCAGTAGATAGTCACAAGCTCCATGAGTAACTCCTTTCATCACATACTTTGGATCGCTATGCGCAGATAACACTGCATAGTTTAACAACAATAGAATCAATCATAAAGCCAAACCTAGAACCAAGAATCAAGTCTAAAAGATCAACACTTTGCAAGAATCAGGTCTAAAGATCAAAACTTTTCCCTGTAGTTAAATTGAAAATTTTTGGGATTAAAAATAGAATTAAAAGAAAGAAATTAGTTGACTTACTTATGACAGGTAGGTCCATTTCAAGACCAACGAGCTCAAGCAGTTTGAAACCATCCATGTCAGGCATGTCAACATCGCTAATAACCAGATCAAACATGTTCTTGTTCTCTCTCAATAACTCTAGAGCCTTTTGTGCTTGGTTCGTCGTAGTAACTGCAGCCAATAAATTCCCCAAAAAGTCTCTGTTTTTTTAACTTTAATTTTCAGTAAAGAAGCAAAATTTCAATTACAATGATGAGCTCTCTGACACATGTAGAGATTTGAGTAGATCAGAGCAAATAAAAATGGGATTTTTTTAAAGGGATTGTAAATCTTAACAAAATCTAAAATTGAATCTTCAAAAAACGACTTTTGTTGTTAGAGAGATCGAATCAGAAGCTAAATTCTACAGGATTTGTACATAAACTTAAGTAGAAATCTTGAAATCAGAAGCTAAATTTTATAGAAATTTTTTCAAAGATTCCACATATGTGGTCAAACTAGAAATCCAAAAATCAGATCAAGAAAAAACAATTTTAACTGAATCTAAAAAAACCCAATTTGGAGAAACTCATTAACAGATCCCAGAAAACGAAAATGGTCGATGCAAGAAAGTAGAGAGAAACAGCAGAGAGAGAGGAACCATGGTATTGGCAACGATGAAGCAAAGTTTCGAGGATTCGAAGACAAGTCTGGTCATCATCAACGGCAAGAACTCTCATTCCGACAGGAAACTGGTCCAAGGCTACAAAATCTTGTTCCACAGTCATCTTAAAAACCCAGAAATCAAAACTGAGTCTTTCTTTTGTTCTTGCAAGTGTTTGGGAGGAAAGTTAAGAGAGAGAGAAAGTGGAATTTTTGATGTGCAGGAACGTCGACGGAAAATGAGTTTTACTGGATTAAATATGAATGGGTCTAGAGAGAGAGAGAGTGATTTAGAGAGTATATAAAATTTAGATTTAGAGAGAGAGGACAAAAGATTTGGAGCCAGAGTTAAAAGTTTTTCTTCTCCGGCGAGGGAAAAAGGAATCTTAATTATCTATCTATATATGGATACTCTAAACCGTTTGTCTTCATCTTCAATATTTGCATTCTACTTATTTTCTGCAGTTTTTTTATTTTTATTTTACCATTCGATAAAAAAAAATTAGAAAAAGCCAAAAATAAACCAAACCGAATAACACAAAATTAGTAAAACTGAACCGAAATTAAAACCCAAAAGTAAACCGTAGAAAGATGAATGAGTTTCCAAACCGAACTAAATTGAATCAAATTCAAAATCAAAGAGACCTAAGCTACATTAGGAGTCGTCCCGGTTTTGTTTCAACCCACGAACCGGTTCCCTAGTATTGTTTTTTTTTGTTTAAGTGTATCAAAAATATCACATGTAGGACCAGATCACCAGAATGGTAACCATATATTATTGTACATTGGTTGAGTTACTGAACCGGAATTAGTCTCACTATCACTCCCTTCTAGATCTAAACTAATAAAACACTTTTTTATAATTCTGATTTTTGCAGTTTAATTGTGTTAAAAAAAGGGTAAGTAAATAGGTGTCCTTTGAAATGGGTAATTAAAAGATAATCGTTAGAGATGGGAAAGTCTTTTAAGTAGAAGATTTGGTTTACTATATGTATATCGCCATCATTATTCTGAAGATACAATTTGATTCTGGTTTAATCTTAGCTAGTATTGTCCAACTGTTACATGGACAAACAAAATTTAACTGTTCCAATAATTTCAATCATCATTAAATACTTCCCATAGCATTTGTTTCGAATTTTAAAAAATCTATTACTAAAACGAGTATTGGATTTTGTTAAAAAAAACTATGGCATATCGTTACAAGTGAATTATTAAAAGTAATTATTACTTATCATTTTGGCATTTTCACACCAATAAATATTTTTCACACAAATTAAAAACTAAAATAAATATTTTATTATACCATATTTTTGAACTAAATATATAATCACGTGATTTGGACGAATCTATATAGTTTAGGTTAACCGAAACTTTGTAGTGCTATATCTATTATACTATTAAAAGAGAATGGTATTTTGTGTCCCAATATAATTTTATTTGGTTTTTTAATATTTTGTTTTTGGATAACTGTTATTTCTGTTGCCAAACAAAAAATTATTGATTTTAATTTAGATTTACCAAATAAATTGATTTAGTATAATATTAATAAAATAAGTTAATTTAGTATAATATTTTAATATAAATCTGAAAACTTATTTTTTAATTTAGATTTGTTATCAATATCCTTAAATATTGGTTATATTATCAAAAATTATAATATAAATTATTATTATATTTTTCAAAATAATAATTCAGATATTAATTTAGACTTAATTTAAATATTCAAACTCAAATAATATTTTCAGTATAGAAATGAAAATAATATATTATTGTATATTTTTATTAAATGAATCTAAAAATTAAATATTTAAATTTAATAAATATTTAAAATATACAAATAATATAAGTGGACATGTTAAATGTTTTAATAATTTTGGTAGGGGCTTAACCATTTTCGATGGCAGAAGCATTGGATGCCCTTTTTTCTCCAACACTAGATTTACATGTTTTGGTTCTTTTTGGATTAACATAAATGAGCATGTTACAATGACGTTTTTTAATTGTGGTACTTTTCAGATTACTATGAACGGACAGATTATAATAATATTTTTCTAATCGCGATCATATATAATACTAGAAAAAATATATCAATAGAATTATTACAGAAAAATTATAATTCATCACTTATTAGAAAATTGTATATAAATAAAAACGAGAAAAAAAATTACATTAATAAAAATAATTTCTGTGTAAACGCACGGAATAGAATCTAGTGTAACTTAATTTAGACGAGTCTTGTAGTTCTATTTATTTGCTTGATGATTCTAAGAATTTTTACGCATGAATCTATAAAAGACCAAACAATTCGATGGATAAATTCATTTCTGGTCAATAACCTCATAAGTCATAACCATAATCGCTTGACCCCCTAGCCACATGGTCCATATGGTCAAACGAAATTCATGAAAACTCATCACAAGCAAAATTACAGAAGTGCATATTCCTCGAATCATGGTCTGAGTGAGGTAGCAACCCTCTTACTCCTATAACATAGTTAATTAGAGCTAAGTTAGTTCCTTATAATAATACACATGTCATAGTTTATTACTCGTTTTCAGTAGAGTTGATCCTGAGTTTTAGAAGCCGGAAGCTCGAAAAAAAAAATTAAACAGTTTTGCCATATTAAGTTTTGAATTTATGGTATCCTAAAAGAAATTTTTTGTATTATTTATAGATTTATCACTAGACAATTTTTTTTTAAAAATGTAAAGGTCGGAATTGTTTTACAAAAATGAGGACCGCAATCATGGTTTGTCCAGCTTGGACTCAAGACCGGGCCTGGTTCTTACTTTTCTTTTTCCGTGTATAGTAGGATCGACTCAACAAATTATCGTCATTCATGGGACAGTAAAGCATACATGATACATACGATGTCCATGCAGTCTCTGTAAAAGAAACTTATGTGCAAACCCTAGAGAATCGCAGTAATTGGAGATAGTTTAGCACAAACGACAAAATGTATATAGACAGCTGCACGGTTTATATTCGAATTTTAATTAGGTATTCTCTATATACTAGTCGTCTCTTTCACTAGTAGCATATTCGATCATTTTCCAAATTTTACAGACGCTATTTAATTTCTTTTTTCTAAAATTATATATTTACCTTATTTTTTCACTCTAAGCTTACATATATAAAAAAAGATTTGCATCGTGGATCATTTCCAAATTTTTCGCATAATAAAATGTGTTTTTCTCACATTTTTCCAAAACAAAAACCCCGATTTTTGATCTTATGAAAACTATTTAAGCGTCTAATAATCCTCTTAAATCACTACTCATGTGTTCCTAGGTTACATGTATCCACTTTTATTTCGCACGAGACCTGTCTTTCAACGGATAAATTAAGCTCAAAGTCACCATACGAAAACAAGTTGACATTTGGATAAAAATTCTTACAATTCTTTAAAATTAATTCTCTAGCACGTCCTTAAAATGTATTAACGGAAGGTTAGACAATTTTAGATGGTATAAATGTTTATATAGTTAAACTATGTAAATTAGATGTATAGTTTTTTTGTTGTTCAACCATAGATGATCTAAATTCTAATGCATTAAAATAAATAAATTCTATTAAATAGAATTAGTCTTAGTCAATTAGACGACATTAAACGGTCATAACCGGTTGTAAGTGGTCCCTACACATTCATTAATCAACATACATTTTCTCTATTTATTATTGTGAAAATTCCTCAGACTAACCTTTAAGGTTAATGTATTGACAAACTTAGCCTAACATATTCATCGGTTTACTAGACTAACTTTAGAAAGTTGGTGTTATACCATTTTGTCCAAATAATGAATATTTTTACCAGATTGCCATTCGATTTTAAAAAACCTTAAAAAAAAATTTTACAAAAAAAAAGAAATCATTATAATCGAAAATCGAAAATACAAAAACATAAAAATAGAAACTGAAACCCTAATCTCCTCCGGCGGCGACTGTAAAAGCGATTTGGCGACGAAGGAGACGATTTGGCGACGAAGGAGACGATTTCGGCGGCGACGAAAGCTTTTCGGCCACTCATCTCGTAAGTCTTGACGTCTGGGTTAGTTTCTCGTCGCGAACAAGTTTTGACTTCGGTTTTCGCGATGGTTGTGTTTGGGTTTTACTCGCGACGGTTGTGTTTGGGTTTCAATGGTGGTTTCGCGCTAACGTCGGACGAGAACTCCATCTTTTCGTTCGTAGTCGAAAACCCTTTA